CCATCTTCCTAAGACCTTTTCTAATCCAAAGAAAAAACAGGTGAAATTGAAAAATTCTCTCACTTTTACCTTTCTTATTTTTTATAAGTCAAATGTATTTTTATGCTTTTTAATTAATTTACTTTAAAATAAAAATTGTATTTATTTAAGGCATACAACATGATTAATTGCATATACATAGTGAAATGATGACTACATCAACCCTCTTTGGATAGATTCCAGAGCCCTTTTACTACTACATGTGATAAGACTTTGCATTTTAACTTTCACAGGCTTATTTGCATTTTGCACCCCCAATCTTTAATTATAGCAATTCATCTTTGTGTAGATATTAGGCACCATGATAGGTAGAGAGGAGGAAACACTAAAAGATCTTTCTTGTCATCTTACAAATTTCGCCATGGGGCACCTGGGTGGTACAGTTGGTTAAGTGTCCAACTCTAGGTTTTGGTTCAGGTCATGATCTAAGGGTCATGAGATCCAGCCCCGCCGTGGGCTCCCACTCAGTGCTGGAGTCTGCTTGGGATTCTCTCTGCATCTCCCTTTGCCCCTCCCCCTGCTCATGGACGTCCGTGTGCATGGGCACACACACTCTCTCTTACATAAATAAAATATTTTAAAAAAAAAATCTCACCATGGATGGATAACAAAATTAACTCTGCCCTTGTTGACAAGCATGAACAAGCCATAGCTGAATAGAGTGGAACTTTCCGGACTTGGGACCTGGGTCCCAGCTGTAGCTCTGTGACTCACTAGCTATGTTACACGATACCAAGCTGTGTGTGTTAAAGGCACACACACACAATGGCCTTCATTTTCAGCCAGGGTTTTGAGTTCTCACCTCAACTATGTGCTAAGTGACTTTGTGCAAGTCTGTTTCTTCCCCTATGAAATGGAGATAATATCTCCTTAACAGGGTTGTTGGTCCTAAAGCGCTTAGCACAGTGCCTGGTACACAAAACGTATTCAATACGTGATAGCATTATTACTCTAACGAATACTAGCTTATCTGCCTACCTCACAGGAGGGCATATGAAATGAGGGACTTCGCAAACTACAAAATTTACATATAAGGGGGCTTATTTGTACAGTTGTTTTGTTATTATAAGGACTTGCTTGCTTTTTTTTTAGATCGGATAAGAATAGCAGATCTGGGTTCTTATCAAAAATAAATTATCTTTTTAAACCACCACCACCATCATCCTGTGGGGTTGGATTTCTTACTGAGTAGTGAGACAATGTGTACACCTGTCACTGTGGGTGCATCCATATGTATGCAAATTTCTGAGCTGAATTGTTCCCCAAAGAAAGGATCCTATGATGCAATATGTTTCTTTCCTTCCTGGACCCATCAGGATTCTTGGTTAAAAGCGAGAGAAATAACATAGGTTGCTAACACAAGAAGGGGATTTAGCAGAGATAGAACATTCATAAAATAAAATTGGATGGGGGACGGGATGGCATGACGGATTAAGCTTGGGAAAAAGGCAGAAATCAAAGGAATCTGGAGGTTGGCCAACAAGATTCATGACCAAGCAGCAACCACTGGTCCAGCCTCTTTAGGATGCCGATGCTGTGGCCATCATCAGTCTGCTCAATCTCACGGCCAATCTCTTTCCATCCTTGTTACATTCTGGAGAGACAAAGTCCCAGGAGTGAGCATCTAACTGGCCCAACTTAGGTGCCATCCCTACCCCAAGTATTTTTGCAGACCGGGAGAAAGCAAACTGTGGAAGGATCTGGCCCTGGGAATTGTCAGGTCCCCACACAATGAAAAACTCCCCCAAAGAGATGTGGAGGTATAAATACAAATATCTTCCAGGAAGCCATCTTTGGTCCAGCTCTCATTTCACAGAAGAAGAAGGTTCAGAGAGGTTGTTCAATGACTGTGTGTCAAGTCTTCTGGTTTCCAACCCCACATTCACTCTCTTACACAAAACCCAGCAATTTATAAAGTCATAAGCTGTTTCTCCAGCTTTCAACAATATCTCAGGTGGGGACAAAGGGACTGACTATGGAGAGTCATTATCTGTTTTCAGACTCTTTTTATTACATAAGCTCAGCACATAAGAATAAATAATGCTGGGATGCAGCTGACCTCCAATACATGATGGGAGAATCTCATTACTGCAAAAACCTTGGTGATAAATATAGAGAACTGGCTATGATACATTGAATTTTCAATAGAAACCATTAAGCACTTCCGCATCTAACTGCCTTTTCTTTTCTTATTCATAGTGCAATAAAAAAATAATTTCCCATGCCATAATTTGCCTGGTGTTTCATCTACACTTCTATCCTACTCCCTGTTTCCTCCTTTCTTTCCTTGAAACTGATATTAGTGAAGCTTTTTGAATCTATAGACTCAGACAAGAATACCCTTTCCATTTTTCTCCAAGCAACTCTCCTGTGCATATTTGAAAGCCAATAGTTTTTTTTGAAAACTACATATAAGTCCAAATCTTAGAGTTGGGAGGCGTCTGAGGGGAGCTCTGCTCTGACCTCATTTCACAAGTAGGGAAACAGAGGCTTAAAAAGGATATGCCAGGTGGGTAGAGGCAGAGACAGGCCAAATGCCATCAAAGACTATGCTGGGTTTCTGAGTTGAGATTTCCTTGATCCTCTTATGTCCACTACTGTCATTATCGGGGTCTAAACAGAAACTCAGGAAGGATCTGAGGTATTGCCTAATCCAGAGGAGGAAAGTAGCAGCCAAAGGGGCAAATCCTGCCTGTACATGGGTTTGATTTTGCTCAAAATTCTTGGCTCACACAGTCCTTTAAAATTTTTTTTAAATTAATTGCCAACTTATAAAAACCTGGAGATTTAACATAATCTGAATTTCTGACCCTTTAATAAAAATCAGATCATCTGGCAACTCAAGGTCCCTACTGCTATATGGCAAAAATGAGTTGTTGCTGAGTAACAAGCTGCCCCCTAAGGCAGGTGTACACACCTCAGTATGCCTCAGTCTCCACCCCTCCCTGTTCTATCACACCCTGCCAACTTCACTTGCAACATTACTGCCTGTCCCCTAAATTTGTGATTCCTGAGCTAGTCTTACTCCCTTAGTTACTGAAGTTGGGTCACTCCCTCCTATTGACTGAGGTCACTTCCTAAGGGTCATGCAGTAAGCAAAGATGTTGGAAGACAAACTTCCAAGGGCTCAGTCCTTGGCTCTCCTCTTGTCTCACACTAGGTGGTCTCGTACTGCTCCACATCAGAACACTCCCCCGGGCACATCTCTAGCCCCAGACTCAGATCTCAGAATATATGAGAATTATATATACATTTGGTTAATATATGAAAAACAATTTGAAGAAAACCTGGCACTGTTGTTGTTGCAAGTTGCCTCATGGGTCTCTAGAATGTTCACGATGGAGCTTTTAATTTCCTTCTGCCTCCAACCTGTTCCTTCCTAGTCTTCCTCACGTGGGTAATAGCACCATTATCCCATGGATGGCTCGAGCTGAACACCTGGGAGTCAATCTTTGTTCATCTGTTTTCCTCATTCCCTAAATCCAGTTCATCATCAAGCCTTTCCGTGATACTCTAAAAATGTATTTCAACTGGTCTACTCTCCCCGTCTCTGCTGTCACCACCTTGGTCTAAGTCACCGTCGTCTTTTGCCTGGGTTTGCAGTATCCTCCTGTGTTATACACTGAACTATACTCCCCCCATTTATATGTTGAAGCTCTAACCCACAGTGGGATGATAGTTGGAGATGGAGCCTTTGGGGGAGGGGTAACTAGATTTGGATGACGTCATGAGGGTGGGACCTCATGACAGGGTTAGTGTCCTTATAAGAAGAGACACGACAGGACTTGCTCTCTTTCTTTCTCCCTGCCATGTGAGGACACAGGGAGAAGGTAGCCATTTACAAGCCAGGAAGGGAGCTCTCATCAGCGAGACCCCGCTCGCACCTTGATCTTCACCTCTAGAACTATGAGGAAATAAATTTCTGTTGTTTAAGCCAACCAGTCTATGGTATCTTGTTATGATAGCGGGAGCAGACTAAGACACCTCCTAACTGGTCTCCCTTTGTCATTCTTTCTCTTCCAAAATCTATTCCCCACACAACAGCAAGAGTGGTGTTTTCAACATGCCATAGCGCCCCCTCCCCTAAAACTCTTCAGGGGCTTATTTTTGTCCTTACAACAAACCGAAGCTCTTTAGGGTGGCCCACCGGGTTCTGGGGAATTCGGCCCCGGCCACCTCTCCAGCCTGGCGCACCTTGCCCTTGCTCTGCGCTCTGGGCCTGCCTAGTCTCGGGTTCTGGCCGCAGGGCCACGGCGCATCTGGTGCCCCCTGCCGGCCATGCTCTTCCTCCAGCCGTGGAATCCCTTCTATCTTTCAACTCTCAGATCAGTTATCACCTCCCCAAGTGGCCGCAGGAAACCATTCTATTCATAGCGTCCCCGACCCCGTTCCTTACTTAAAATCACCTTTCCCTCTCAGAACAATCCGACATTATCTTGTTTCTCTGCATTTAACTTGCCCCCACCCCGACCCCACGCAAACTACAGGAGGGCGACAGACTTCGTCTTGTTCCTGTTGCACCCCGGCCCTGAATGCCCACCACACTACCTGAGACACGCCACGACGGTGCGGCCGGGTTTCTCTGAGGCGCCTCCTGAGGTCCTGGGAGGTCAGGTGCCTTTCTCAAAGTTGGCTTCTAAGGACGCCGCACTCTTCGCACTCCCCAAGGGGCGTCGAGACGCTCTTGGGATCGAGCATGATCACCGCACTCGGCTGCCTGGGCCGGGGGAGAGCTCAGAGTCTGGGAGCAACTTTCCCGCGTGGAGAGCAGAGGAGCGC